CGAGGGTAAATTTAATATAGTTGTCCAAAAAATTCGTTATATAAAAATTCGCTATAGAGAGGTATGACTGTATATGTTATATCGAACAAAGAACATCTAATGTTCCCATTACAGAAAAAGGATTATTTCAATAGTTACTGGAGGCCAAACGCGAATGCCTCCCTCGTGAATTCAGAATAGAAGGATTTTTCCAGATGTAGATTCTATTATCCAGAATAAAGATATGTTAACTATTCAATTGTAGGTAGCATATATATTGGAAAATTTCTGTTCCCGACGTTTATTTGGTTGAAGAATGATCGATTTTCTCCGAAAGGCAGGTATGGTAGTTTCTGTCATAGAATTTATTTATAAATCTGAAGATACTATGTACTATGATATTGCTATCCCAAATAGTGAAGGTGAGTTTTTCTATTGTTAAAGCAGAGGAGACATCAGATATATCTAATGCTTCTATTGTCAATCATGAGACTACGCTCTTTAGACCAGCATCATATTGTGGATTGCTATAGGATTTCACCTGAATTACTAACTGAAGACTTTATTTCAAAATATGGGAATTATAATTACATAAAATGGTTTAGAGCTTATAAGCAATTATAAGATGCTGAAACTGATAATGAAATAGCTGTTGAGACTATTACCCATAAAGATTACAGAGAGAATAGACTCACAACTGTGACCTAAACTGAGAAACATAGTATCTGCTTGAAATTATTAAGGATTTGTACACTAACTAGAGATATTGACGATAGAACCAGATATAAAGTTGATGATATTAAGATATGTTTGAATTCTTCTGAATTAATGTCATTTCTTTAGGATTTAGTACTTAAAATAGCTCAAGTATTTGATAATACAGATGCATCACGAGTGCTAAAAAATCAGGACTAAAAACAATTCGGACAAAACTTGGTTTACTAAACTCAGCACTTTACGTAATATACAGGTTGAAATTTAAGGCTATAGATAAGAATCTCAAACATTACCATCTTGTTGGATCATTTGATAACAATGACTTTCCTGAGTTACTCCCATACCAAATAGGAAAAGAAATATACTGAGAGGGTGGTAAAGGTACCTGATATGCTTATAATAAGCTCACTTCTGATAAATTAGATAATGTTTCTAGTTTTAGCAAAACAAATACTACGCAAATTACAGAAGTTATTCAGGCTTTATTTGATATTGCGTAAGTTGATTTCATTATAAAACAATCTGGATATACTACTAGACTTCGTAAAAATAGATCATTACATCCAAAGATAAGTCTTCTTTCATTATTTATATAATATTTCTGAAGAAAACTTATTCTCGTAATATACTCCTTACCTGGGTTCACAAAGTGAATTTCTTGGATTCTTTAGGTAAATTCCACTATTATTTAAGAAGGCACTAAAAGTGGAAGACTTTCATCTGATAGTACCTAGTATTATTTTTTTCCCACTCCTAGGTAGACAATTCTAAGGTCTTCATAAGTTGAAAGGTCTCAACTCCATACTTCTTTCTCATCCGATAATTTAATGTATGAAACTTTGCTGAATGACTAGAGCAATATCCTGAATCAGAATTAGTAGGAAATCCACAACCACTAACAGGACATAGTTTTTTTCATATTCTTTTCATACAATTTCGAGTGCCTATAACACCCTATAGGAAGCTAGCATTTATTTTCATAAATAGTGCTATTCCTCTTAATATATGTACAAGTAAGGTGAGCTATGATCAATGATGCTAAACAAATGTATTTTAGGATATAAAATCCTCTTTCACTTTTAATTTTATAATAAAACATGTATTTAAATTAATTTATATTATAATGAGATAAACTATCATTTCATACTTATGCTATAGACATAATGCAAAAAATGATACTCAATATACTAACCGGCTGATGTGTCAACCTAAATGGAAAGTTATTCCAGAAATTGATCTATGAAGGTTACAGATACGCTGATAGATTTTTAGATTATTTAGAAGATATTGGAGCAATATATGCTGGTGAATTCGAATTACACCCCTTGACCAACATTTACCATCCAACCTTAATTCTGCTTTTATCTATCCTAGCTAGTAGATCAGATATTTGTAAAAAGTTTCCTATTAGTGTAGAGTTTACTGTAATGGGAGGAATGAGTCTATTTACTCTAGAAAAAATAAACAATCTTCACTTTAGAATTTAATTCAAATGAATTATTCCAGTGATAGCTTGTCTACATTAATAGGAATAACTTAGAAGCGTAAAGAGACAAAAACTTGGAGGAATGACATGCTTATAAAACTTCTCTATAACCCGAATTTAACTTCTTCAAGGTAGACCGGATGCTTTATATGATGCATTCACCAAAACAAATGCTTTAGAACCAGAGTACATTTTAGCTCTAGCACAAACATTTTACTAAGTATTAACATCTAGGTCTTAGACCATTCATAGCCTTGGGATGGGGGTCCCATGATTATATATTTTTTTAGCATATCATATCTACCTGCAGATTTCAAATTGATGAAATACTCTTTTCGACTAGGTCATAGCTTATATTATTTTTTTCGCTCATTTGACCTTTTATCAATCATGAACGGATACTAGAGGAATCACATAATAAATTATTAGGAATATTTTTTTGAATTGAACTTTTTATGCATAGTATAACCTAATAGTTACACATAATCTAATAATTATTTCATAGACTATATCTATATTATCATGTTCGCAATTGTAACAAAGTATGTTGCAGATCACAAACTCAATAAAGAGATAGGTAATGATGAACTTAGCCAGCACGCTCTAGTATTACTTGAGCTTTTGCCAGATAAAGTGAAAAGAGATAAGGGTCGATAGTGCTTTTAAAAAGTGTATAATTTTAGCAAAGAGCAGACATTTATATTAGTTCCTGATCAGAGAATTTGTCAAAGTAGAAGTCAAGTAACCCCCAAAGAAGAAGGGGTGAAGCAGAAGAAGTTAATATATGCCAAGTATCTGACATCATCCTAGACTGAGAAACCATTGAAAGTATAGCCCAGCATATTGTCTGAGATAATTTTGGTGAAAAAAAGTAGTGATAGTCAAGGCTTTAATTATTCCTAACCTTGTCACCATCACATCTCATCTTAATAGGCTCTGAAGAGAATTGCGAAAACTTAATGCCTCCCAAAAAATAATCTCTATTACATTTGTCTCAGATATAACTCTCTCATCTAACAAAATTCAAAAAGAGCATAGGGGTCAACGTAAAAATAAAGGAATTGATTTTCCAGATTACTTTTCATTAGAATCTGTTAAAGAAAGGTTAGATTTGTACAATGTGTCTAATATACCTGATAAATAGGCCCTAGCTGATATAATAATTATGCTCTGCATCCATCCCGCTAAAATTAAAGACTTGCATATATCTAATAAAGGTGTAATTGGATACGTAAAAAACTAAGGTCAACAGGATAATCCTTAGGTATTTAGATCATTAGAAAAAGATGAAGAGTAGGCTAAACTTCTCCTTACTTGGATTCAGAATGTGATTTTTTCTAGACAGTTGGGGAATCCAGAAGTACCAGGAGTTAAATGATTTAATATGTTTCTGAAAAAAAATGATTTCTTTTCAAACTGGTAAACCACTCCTTCTTAGCTATTTGTGTAAATTAGAGGCGATATTTGCAGTCATGTTGAATGGTGCGAAGAATTTATCAGAAGCTATGACCATTGCCGATCAAGCCTTTCAATATTCACAAGATAATCATACCTCTCTAGCGCAAAGCTATACTACAATCAATTTTTGTCAAAAGTGGTAACCTTATGATCAGGTAAAGGCATTCAAGTTCTTTGATAATTGTATATGGATTAGAGGATTAGAATATTATTTATTAATTTTATTTTTTATTTGCCTAAAATATAGCATATATAAAATATCACAAAAATAGTAATTGAACAAAAACATTCATCTGATTGTATACCTAGCGAGCAGAAAGTTATTAAATACACAGAAAAATTAGCCCAGATATTTAGGCTAGACAAACAAAATGCATATATGTATAGTGTGTTTTTCAGTGAAAATAGGGCACTAAAGAAACAATTGGAAGATTATCATACCCAACATAACACTTTAGAAAGGAAAAATCCTTAAAAGACGAATTAAAAAATCTAGACGAATGTGTAGATAGGGAAACTGTGATCAACTTAATACAAAAAATAGCTTCTTCAGTAAATATTAAAAAATGTAAGAATCTCTCCTATTCATCTGAATCTTCCGAAAATTCTGATTCAGTTGAGATAATTGAGAGATGCAAAAGGTATCAAGTAGAAGAGATTATTTCTCATAAGCAACAAAGAAAAGCATGACAAAGAAAGGTTAAACAATCTGTAGTTTGAAGTAATGAATTAGCCAATCAGACTGAATGATGATATATCACTATAATTCTAGGATATCAGATTGTTCTCTAACACTTGTGGATAGATTTATTTATTATTTTGAATATTATATATCATAATAAAAATGGTAATTGTGAATTGTGTAATCAAAGAAAATATTTCTACTGAAGTATTAATTGATACATGTGCTGATACTAAATACATTAGCCATAAATATATTTCTGAATTAGAAATTACATATCACTGTGAAAATAATAACATTAAAACTTCAGATGCAACCTATTCTATATTAGGAAAGGTTAATCTGCATATTAGCTTTAATGATAATAAAAAGCATAAAAGCATTAGGCCTAGTGAATTTATAGTTCTTGGGCTAGATTGGCTAAGACCTGATTTAATTTTAGGAATGCCATAGTTGCGAGAAAATAGTGCAACTTTAGATATATGTAGTTCAAAACTATTATTAGACGATAATTTTGTGATCCCATTCAAAGAAATAAATTACATTTCGACATTATCTGATAGTCAGATCTGAGCTATGACTGATTTTCTTAACCCAACCGATAGCCTGGAGCAGTGATTATCTGCTCAGAAGATTTTTCCAATTGAAAGATATTCTAACCATATAAAAATGCATACAGTTAATTTACTAGAACAACTTCCGCTGTCTGGAAACTAATACTATTCATTCTAAAGTATCTTTCAGAATAAGACCTAACAAATTCTCAAAGTATAAATGATATATGGGAAAAAGAGGCGAATTGTATATTGTTCAAAAGTATGAAATTTCAAATGTGAGGATTATCTCAGGGTAATTATTCAGTAAGGAATTTTATTCGAAATTGAAAGAGTGTAATTTAAGCAAAAACTATTCAGAATGGCTTCTTAAAAATCTATTTCTCAGAGGATTATTACCATCCAGGAGAATATGTTTAAAGTTTGTATAGGATGATTTACAAATGCTTGTGCTAGATGAGATAGTGAAAAGGCTTAATTCAAAACAGTAATCATCAGCTCAGAAGAATTTGCTGAGTTACAAAAATATGCAGATTACAGGACCAATTCATGTGATATATATAATAATTTTTTCATATACCAAAAAGAAGCTATACATGCTAACCAGTACTTTATTTTTTATTAAGTATAGCCCGGATCGATCTATTAGCAAAATATTAAATAATGAGATAGATACTGAGACAGAAGATTATTATAATGAATTTATCAAAGAATATGGATCAATATA